AGGTCAGTGGCTTCACTTGGGACATGTGAGGGTGTGGACTGTACTGGGTGACATCCCAGAAGGGGTGACACCCAATCAGGGGGCCCTCCCACTGAACCCCTCCCAGGTTTACTGTGACAGCATAGGCCTCCTCATGAGAAGACCACCACAGAAAAGGAGAGAGCCAAGCACTCCCCTCAGAGGCATCCTCATAAAAAGACCTTTGATGCTGCAACAAAGGAATAGGCCAAGAGCACCCTTTTGACCAGTGCTGGCAGTCCTCCCCCAACTGGGTGACACCAGGGGTGGGGATGCCACTTTTCCAATCTATTTTCTGCTAGTAGCATGATGTCATCTGCAGATCTTCAATTGTTGACATTCCTTCCTCCAATTTTCATGCATCCTTCCTCCAAGTCTAATCCTGGTCTACATATGATATGTCCAGCATACAAATTAAAAAGATAGGACTATGAAATACAGCCTCCCCTGACCCCCTTGTCAATTGGAAACCATTCCCTTTCTCCATATTCTTTCCTGACTTTAGCTTCTTGTTCAGAGTACAGGTTAGACATCAGGACAATGAACTCTTGTAGCACACCCATTTCATTAAGAGTGATCCATAATTTTTCATGAGCTACAAAATCAAAGGCTTTTCTATAATCTATAAAGCTCAGGCTGACTTTCTTCTGAAATTCTTTGGTGCACTCTACCATCCAACTTATTTTTACAATATGATCCTTAATACATATTCCATTCCTGAACCCAGCTTGGATATCTGGAATTTCTTGCCCCATATATGGTAAAAGTATTTTATGTAGAATTCTGAACATCACTTTGCTTGCATGGAACATTAATGCAATGGTCAAATGGTTATTACAATTCCTGGTGTCCCCTTTGTTGGAGAGTGGAATGTATATTGACCATTTCCAATCTGTGGGCTATTCTGTTTCCCCCCATATTTGTAGAAAGTTTTTAGTTAGAACTGGAATAAATTCTGTCTCTAAAGCTTGAAGCACCTCTATTGATATACTATCTATTCCTGGTGAATCATTTCTCCCAGTTGCCTTGAGTGCAGCTTCAGCTTTCCAAAATTCTGGGTTGATCTTCTAATAGTTCTTCCTTGAATTACTCTGTTATCCTTTCATTTCTTGTGTGGTTCTTCATTGTATTGTTTCCATCATCTTTTTATTTGTATTTGGTCACGTAATGTGTTCTGCTGGTCATATAGCATCCCACTCTTGGTTTAAATTTCACTGATTTCTCAGATCTTATGGAAAATTACTCTTATTCTTCCCTTTTTGTTGTCATCTTCTATTTCTCTGATTTAAGAATTATAGTAGTTTTCTTTGTCTTTGCACATAAGTTATTGAACAGTTGCATTCAGGGTTGTAATCCTACTGCTGTCACCTTTTACTGTTGCTCCTCTTCTGTCTTTAACTAACTAACTATCTGTATGAAGAGTTTAAATTATCCTTTATGGAGGCTAGAGATATTGTCTCTTTTCTTTTTTAAAAATTATCTTTAGCGATAATAAACTTAGCGATAATAAACTGGAAATGACAAATTCCGAAAATAAACCAAAAATAAACCTTGATTCCGCAAATGGTTTTAACACGTAATTACGTTAATTGTGCAATTAAGGAAAGCTTCCCCTGAAACCGCATTGAACGTTAACACACAAGTGAGAAAATCCCGTACATGTACTAGAAATGAACTTCTAG